CCTGAACCCTTTAATTTGTGTCCATTTTCTAAGATTAAGTCGCGTTCGTTTGAGGATTTGAAAACGACTTTTGGTAGTCTAGACTGATTTGGTTTCAGATGCGCTAGATTTCCTAGTCTATACACCTTTAGCAAGGTGACTCCGGGGATGTTTTTGGGCATAACTTGGTTGAGTAGTTGTTTTATCAACACAATGTCATGCTAAAAACGAGATTTCGGTTCTAAGTTGTCACTCTCCTTGACTCTATGGAGAATGACTGATCTGTCGCTGTGATCAGACCTCGGCTTGTCGACCCTTTTGGTGGGGGTATGATTTCCTTTTACGTCATTTTGGCGTTTTTTTCTTACGACCCGTACCCAATCGCCAACATTCTTTGGAGTGGTAACCACATTCGCGTCAGGCGTACTGTGGGATTCCGGAAGAGTCAGGACGACTTGGGAGATTGGGTCATCTTTCGCGCTGGAAACCGATCGAGCCTTGCGGTTTCGGCTTCCGGAAGTTCCCTTCTGGGTACCATTTTTGATACGAGGGACAGAAGAGACTTTTTTGCGCGAGTTTCTGGTTGTAACAGTCCTCTTTGGAGGATGTTCTTTCTCCTTAGTAGGGTGTGGGTCGGCAGTTTTTGGACTCACTTGAACCTGCCTTGTGTCAATCTGCGTGTCGACAGATTAAGTTCTGACTGATGTATCCCGACCGCGCTTGCCGAGACACTTTTTTGTGGCATTTACTATTGAAATGGCCTCGGTTAGCAGGTTATTTGCATCCAAACAGCACTGTTGACATAGCCATACACACCCATTTTTACTGAACCGCTTGAAAGCTGCAGGTGTTAGATTCGTGCAAACATCGTGGTACCAACCTTTGCACTCATCGCACTGCATGCCGCTATCAACAGGATATCGACATCCTGGGCGGTGGCAAATGCTTTTGTTGCATCTTCCAGTCATTTTAGGATGCGAAAGTGAGTGTTGACTACAAGTAGAAAAAAAAACTATAAACAGTTAGGACCAAAGTACTAACAGACACAATGGAAAAAAAGGTACTCTGGAGTACCGACGATAAAACTATTTAGGATACCAAAGATGATACTCTAATAGAATACTTTAACTGAAAGAAATTCAATCAAAGTATAAAAACAGTAGTCTTGATACGTTAATAACGATCAAAACAATAGAATTTACTCAACGAGGAAAAATACCACTGTCCTTTTTAAATAGCGCGCGTCGATTATGCCAATTCACTTTAGTTATACTCATAATTTTAATTTTTCAAATATTATGTAACTAACCTTTCATTATTTTATAAAAGTGACTCACCACCATCTAATTGGTATGGACTTTCTACTCACTTATAAAACATGTATTAGTGTAGTGACCTGATGAAGAGCTAATTGAAAAGAAATATTTCTTTGTTCAGCTTGTCTTGTTAATGTCTCAAATAGAATATTCAATAAAATGAAAAACGGTAGTTTCTTTATCACCAACTTGAAAGTACATGAAAACGATAGGATCATAATCTTTTATATTATTAGATTTATATTTAGTGTTGATAGAAAGACACGGGACTATATAGCTATAATAAACAGTTTAAGTATAAATGAAAATCTCCCTTTGTAATTACAAAATACAGACGTCAATTAATTCTTGTTTTGTTGGAAAATAGTTATTGAAGAGAAAGTGATCAGTTTTAACTCCAATACTGTTAGTTGTCAGATGAGAAAAGATTGATTTAGGACGCAAAACCAAAAGTTTGATTTATTGGGGGCTTGTTTTTTTACCAGTTTTCGTATGTTGCTCAAGTATTTTGATAATAATAATTTTACTCTTCAGCATCAATAGTTCAAAATTGCAAATTATTTCGACTTAACATACATTTCAATTGTCATTATTTGATAATTATTAAATTTTTTTAGTAATTAGTATTTTCTATTCATCTTCGCTGGGGAAAGCTAATAAGCAGTTTAGATTCTACGACTACGTTTTCTAACTCCCAGGAAATAAATGTAAGTATTGCAATATATTTGTCGCTCGTTTTTCTTCAGAAGTGTAGAAACGGGAGAAAATAAGCTAGAAGTTGCGTATTTTGTATTGAGATTTGGAGTGTTTAGCATCGTAATAGGTTGTAAACCTTTCATAATACAGAGTAAATGCAAACAGATAGGATTCATAATTATTAAGTCCAAATAAACTTTAAAGTAGATTAATTTATTGCTGCATGTGTCCAACTACGAAGCAGTTGGCAAAACGTTCAGAAAGACTACTGATATCCCCAAAAACCTGAAATCTGATCTGAATATGTTACATTTGCTTATGCAGCATTATGAATGCTTACTTATTGGTTTGTTTAAGAGCTTTCCTCATTTTTGAAAATCAATTTACTATGGGCTTCATCTTACTAAATAGAATATTCTGAATAATCTACTGACTGTATGTGGATGCGCAAAGCGGTAAGTGGAATAGAATATGTCGTTATCATATATATGATGATAAATGATATGCGGAAACTCAAAGTCCATGTATTCTTCAACATGACGGGATTCTATATATCTGCAATGACAAATGTATTACCAAAAATTATAATTTAGGATTCTTAAATATGTAGAACATTCGGGACGAAATAATAAAGGGAGATAAGATGGCACCTATGTGAGTGTACAAATTTATACACTTGACTGTTCCACAAGTGTTCAAAATCAGTGTTCTCTTCAAAGAAAATTACAATCATAATACTTAAATCTAATTCACCATCAAAGGATTCGTGTTGCCAGACAAGAAGGTATTTTCAAACGTACGTGTCATAAATTTTGAGGCTTTCGGAACATTATTTTAATTGATTATAAATTATTTCAAATTACTTTCATATGATCAGGTGAATTGATATACTGTGAACTAGGATAGTGGATAATATTGATTCATGTTTGTTCTGTTTATCTATATGTTATTTAAGTTTGAAGCTAATAACAGAGAAATCTCTATCTCATTCACTTTCCATCTAAATTCGAACTGGTGTTATTATCTTCACTATCGAATAAATAGAATAACCAACGAATAGATAAATAAACATAATTAGATTCACAGCAATCCATTAGCTTGATAACTAACTTCATATTTTGTCACCAGTAGGAAAGCAATTACAAAATTACTTTAAGTGACTAGTTATAAGACATTATTGTTAAAATTTTATTCGAATGGAAAAAAATCCTCTTTTTCCAAGTTAAACTGTCTTCAAATATATTAACAAAAATTTATATCTCAAAATTAGATTTCCATCTACATACTTAATAGTGTTTACCAATAGTGTTAGTGAAAATGGCTTTAAAACATAAAGTAAAATGATAACCGTTTCACTGAAGATTGGTTACCTGGATTTCACTTGGACGTTAATGTTCACATTTGTTATTTGCTTACAAATTATTTAAGCTACCATACATTTTACTTTCTTAAATTATATGCTATCTACTGATGAAGATCAGCAAAGAAAACCAATATTTTTAAATAACTATTAGATAAAATTCGCAGGTATACTTGTGCATAGTAACTGTAGATTGTGATGTAATACACCTTCAATCTGCATTGTTTCTTTTAACAGTTTTCCAGCAGTTTTATTAAAAATTATTTTCGAAATGAAATTCAAGTGAAATACATTAATCATCCTTAAGTATATTTTATCATCAACGTCTAACTACGAATTAAATATTCAAGATGCTTAATTGATCTTATCTAAAATCACGTGAATAACATTACAGTTTTCTAGATAGATAATTGAAAACGTTAAATCAGTAATTTAAATGATACTGTTTTAATAAATTATATAAATTATCATAGAATTAAAGAGAAAAACGTTATATATTTCTAAGCAAAGATGGATAGTGGCTAGCAGTGAAATCCAAGACGCGCGTTTCGTCCAATTCGGGAATCCTTAGCTAGATGTACCTGCATCTCTGAGCTGATATTCACTCTGGGACTCAAACCCAGTTTTTTTCGCTTCAAATTCCATCGCGCCCTGGATTCTACTGCTAGCCACCAACCATCCTTGTTTATAACGCTTGTGAATTAAGGCTATATCGAGGTAATGCGCACGGTATGCATATATGCCAATAAGAGACTGACCAGTTGCAGTACTAAACATCAATAAGAAAATGTAAACAAACAATACCAAATGAATTTTTATTGTTCTGTTGTAGATATTTTCTCGTTATGTGCATTAAATATCCTAAAAAGTGATGGAGGTTTTTGATTTTAACAATTCATGTTATTGTTAATAATGAATAAGTTGGCTTTCATGAAAATGATTTATATTTTAAACAACCATGTTTTCATTAGACCTATTTACGTAGGATCTTTAATACATTCTGTATCATTTTGAAAAAAACATTACAATAACTAGTTATTTCATAATTGAAATGAGAGATAATGTTGATTAATCGTATGCATTATATATTCTCTATTGATGACTATTGATGTTTACAGTATTATTGTTTCGAATTGTATTAGTTACTACGTCATAATAATTTTTACAACCTTGAACAACATTTCTACATTCGATACTTTTGTAAGCAAAGAGAAACATTAATAATATTACACATGGTATGGCTGTTTCATCGAAAAATCTGGAAAAAATATGTGTTTTAAAAGTTGTGATTTATACAGTTTTATGTTTTCCATACAAATAAACCGACGGAAATGGTTTTATTTCCTCTAAACTAACGAACGATCTTAATGAAAAGTTATATTGCGGGAACCACTGAGAACCAGGGGATGTTGGACAGTATTTTTACACGTTTATTCTTTTCAACTCTACAGTAGTCACTCTGACCCACAAAACGTACAAGATATTCAGATGTCGTAAATGATATCTCGCAGACACTATGATAGGTTTTAGAACATTTCATAGATGTTTTCTACTGTTTTACTTTTTCTTTGTAGTTGAAAACTGTCATACAAATAATGCAAAAAGCATCTATTAATTAAAATAGTCGTAGAAATATTTAATTTACTCACCTAATAAAAAGTTTCTGGCACGCCACTGTGCTTTTCCCCTTTGATTGGCTACACGACAACGCATCAAAACTGTTTCACCTTCAAGCACTTCATATCGTTCAGCTGGTAATTCTCGTAGACATTGTGAATTCTTTGCTTCCTCTTCAGGCGTACATGGACCAGATTGATCAACAAAAGCGGATGAAGATTTAGGTAGAGAAGAAATTCTTTGAGATATAAGTCCACCTGCATCGTTGTTAGATTTATTTACATCCATAACCATATGAGGATATATATTCAAATTAGATGTTATTGTTTGAATTGGTTTTGTTCGGTTGAATTTAGATTTAGACATAGAAAAAAAATCCAAAGATAAATTAGTACGCCAATTTAAAATAGTAGGTAGTCCAACAGGAGGTAATTTAGAAATATTTCCAGTAAATAAATTTAATGTATCCGAGTATAACTGACGTTTATGTATATTTTTTGTGGACTGAATGCTTAAAGGGGTTGATAACACTAATGTAAATAATATTAAATGATTTAAACAGCGAGGTATAATTGATTCGATGGAAGAGACCTCATTATCATCACTTCTCACTATCCATATTCTCTTGTAAAATCTTAAAATCAGACACATTTTCGCATATTAAACTATGTGACCACTTCGCCGAAACAATGTTTGATTCATATTTTCTTCCGTCAAACATAAACTTCTTCCATAGTATATCACCATTTTAACACCAGCAAACAGAAATTTCTTAAAATTTAAAATATTCCAGTCTTTTTTCATTACTCCAAAATAAAAAAGATTTTATTTATTTTGTAATAAACATATTCAAAACCATCATTTCTGTAGTTAGTTAGCAAGTAGCCATTGCTCAAACCAGAAATGTGTCTTGATTCTGGAGTTATGTGTTGAGGAGTATACGTTTTTGACATAATTTTCTTTTAAACCAATCATATTTAAGTAGAATATTTTTTTCACATATTAGTCTAGGGAAAATATTTTTTGGGTTTTTGGTTCACTCTGGTCTGATGAGAATACTTATGACTATAGATTTTCCAATGCATAACATATTTAAAATAAATAATATTCACCTGTTTATTTTATTAATTTAGTAAAAATAGGCCACCTTTTACAAACAAAAGAAAAGCATATGGCCTCAGGTGTAGTGAGCAATCTAACATCTTTCTCATTCCTTTTCTGAGAATGCATTTCTCAGTTATTTGTGTACGACTAAATTTTGTCTTTTGATTTGTTTACTGGTAGTTTGTTGTTATTGAATTTATTCTATTTGTTGACAGTATTTCAAGGTTACTCTGGTTCAGTTATCTGAATATTTAAGTAGAACTGGCAGGACGGATTGAAGATTTTGTTTACTATTTCTCAAATTTCATTATGATAAACGGTCTACTTTTAAAGGACTTCGTTACTTCATTTTAAAAAGTAGACAGGAACACCTATTCGATGTCAAATAAAAGTTATTGGTTAAGGGTCAACCGTGATACTTTTTAATGAGAACATGAATATCTTCTCTGAAGTTGATTTGTCAAACGTTCATGAGATAATTGATATCGTTTGCACATAAGGTATGTAGAAATATGGGTCAGTATATAGGTAACTTTTCAGGCCATAAAGAGATTGATCAAAAGACTGTTAATCAACGAATATTTGTTTAAATACATAACTAAAGAAATAAAATGTATTCAACCAAACTCTGAATCAGTGTTTTAAAGATATCATGATATTTTTGAGGGTCGAATGGATTGAGGTCCCATTTCATGAGTAGTCATGTGTGTAAACTTCTAGTTTTGATTTGCAAATAAAGTAAATGATCGACTTAAATTTTCTAATTTTTCTTTAAAAATAATGTATAAGGTTCAGCTGACCATACATAAATCAGAAATTTCTTCAGGTCAAAGTTATGATCTGCTTTTAATGCTAAAATGTATTATGCATCTTGTCATTTCATTATTCTACTAATATTTTAATATCATTCATATTAGTGCTATGACTAATACTTATCATGATAGTGATGAACATCCTACCTTTATTGTTACAATTAATCTTCTTGTTATGTGGTCACTTCTACATGTTATCACGAAAAAACTGAGCTTTCTAGGTTGTAAGTGAAATTAAGATTTCAGTTTTCTAGTTGTTCTTATATTCTTAGTCTTACTGAACAGATTTGAAACAAACTTGTTGTGACATTTACTACAGTATAACCATCTAATATTCCTTAAATAATGTTATGACGGCAGTCAAAATTTATATAATGACGTTTTGAGAATATAATAGACAGCAAGCTGATTTCAAATATAACAAGTTGTATCATGAAAGACCATTATAATAGTTCGTTTAATAGAATATGCATGTAAATGTAAAAAATCATAGCAACAAATGTCACAGTACATTCATCACGTTAACCGTTTTTTACTTGTTATACCTATAAACGAAGTAATTATTCTTTACCAGTATTCATATTCTATGAATAATCATAAATCACGCTGAATTGTTTATTTCATATAGAGATCTAACCCGAAAATTTTGTTTAGATTAAATCTAATAATTCGGTCTTTATGCTGAAAATGTCTTCAAAAGGCAGAATTGAAATTTTGTTATAAACTGTGGATATCAGGAAAGCAAATGGTAAATGATTTATGCTTTTAGACCACGTTAATATTCCAATTTGAATGTCATCAGGACTAGTAATGATCCTGAATCTAGAACATTAGATGAACTGTTATTTGGCTATTTGTTTTTACAAAGAACTGAATGCAAGTTTGAAAAAACAAACAATTTCTATCTTATTCAACACTAGCTTTCCAATAAGTTTATCTACTTATTTAAATTATCCTACTATTTTATATCATATAAAGAACATGTATTTTATTATTTTCCAAAGTTAATAACTTTATAGAATATGAAAATAACTAATCGTTATTTTATAGAGTTGAGATCATGAGTAAATTGAAGTTAGACCACCATGGAAAATTTGAAAGCACTGGACGACCGTCTCGACCTACTGTGGGATACGCACTGCTGAGGAGTCCCACAATAGAACGAAACGGTCATTCAGTGCTTCCAGGTTTTCCATAGTGGTCTAGCTTCAATCAACTCATGATCTCAACTATATAAAATTACTAAGATCTCCACAAAACCCCCTTCTGATAATAGTTATTTTATTTAACTAAACTGCGATACAATATCTCAGACTGAACAGATTATAATACAAACTGCATAGTCAATAATTACAGTGAAATATTTTAATTTCAGGCGAATACATTTTCGTTAAAGTGATGGTTATAGTTAAGGTCAATTAACAAATGATTGGGAATCTCAGCTTTAATCTCTTCCTTATATGTATATATGTATATATAGCTTTTCAGACCAATGAAGCATACGTTACTTCAGTTATTAAATTTTTTTTTAAAAAATAATAGAAAAGATACTCAATCAATTGAAGCACAAAAGAAAATTTTATTTTTGTTTGTTTCCTTTCCAAATGCTTCAAAATTAGTTTGCTTCTTCTTCTTCTTCATCTTCTTCCTAATATTGTTATTATTATTTGTTTATTTAATCTTTAAACGATCGAAAAATAAAAGTGAAATAAAGTTTCTATTTTTTTTGTTTTGTATCTACATAGTATTTGACTTGTTTTTTGTTTAGATCAAATTTGTTTTTTTTTGTTTTTTTTTAAATTTAATTTTATTAAAAGTAGAACTAATCAAGGATAAAAGATAAGTAATATATGTTCATATGTAGAAAAGTAATTAAAATGGAGCAGTTTAAGTAGTATATATGATTATGATGAGAAAATGGATAGTAAATATAAAAATTACAAAGAATAGTATCTTGAAAATCATATTGGTATGTGTAAGAAAATGTAGTTTGCCAATTATTGACTTATTTACTTTATAGTAGGGGGTTAGTTCACTATTTTAAAGTTATTTGTTTCTTGAAACCATTAATGCATTAAGGAATGGCTATTTATATCTGTAGGTACTATTTTTAAATATCACAATGTTTGAAGGACTGTAATACATTTGGAATAAGGTTTTTATTGAAATGAAACATATAACTTCATACGTCGTCGGTACCAACAGTTGATGTATCTATGAATATTTTTATAATAATATAGCTACTAATGTAAATCAGTGGTAATGTCAATATTGAGTCTCGATGTGAGCACCTTCAACTTCAAGAAACAGCCCTTTGTTTACCGTGCGACAACAAATCTGACGTGTTAGTGAATATCTGGACCTATTAGCCCAATGAATAATGTCTTGACGTTCGAAGTAATGTTCAGAGAATCCCAATCGACTTGTGATCATTAACATTAGTATGTAGATATATGTAGCTGATAACTTCAAAGTAGAATTTAAAGCACAGCTTAGATTCAAACGCAAGTTAAAAATCTATTTTATAAATTATATAACAAACTGGTTACGTTGATGCTACGAGATGTATGTATAGTAAGAAAGACTAACCAAAATTCATTTCCGAATATTAACAATGAGATTATATCAAATCCATACTAATCATAACGTAGATAACATTTCACTAGGAAACATACAAAATTAACTTTGGTGTACTTTTATTCACTATAATAATAAATTTAGGTGTGTACTTTCTTTACCAATCACTGTTAACTGTCTTAAGTATGGCATACTTGCATATAAGTAATACCCTCGACAGGTAGACACACGTTTACTCTCTTGTAACTCAAGTATGGATAATATGCACATCCTTCATGTCGGCGGTTTTCCTGATATTCTTGGTCAGACTACAAATGTTAACATAGTTTTATACGACTTTGTCAATGATTTATCACCTGAATTAGTCAAATCAACATAGGACAACCATAATAGTTAAATGATTGTAGCGCAGGAGTTATATTTACTTGATAGAATCTCATTATGGTTAATCCACTCATAAAATTGTATAATGTTAAATCAAACTCTTATTTTGAAAGTACATTCTCTATAGGCTTTCAGAAAGTGTAAATTATTCATTATTCTTCTTCTAAACCTGATCGTTCAATTTTAAAATACATAGTTGCTTTTTGAAGGTTAGATTGAATATTTTTAAAATGAAATATTTAGTCTTGTTCTTTGTTTTTCGTGTTTTTTCTCAGTAATACCTTTATCTCGATGAATATTATTCCACACCATATCGACAATTTCAAACTTTTATTATTTAATATCAGAAGGGGTTTTTGCAGATATTATACTAATTTTAA